TTGGCATATCCAACAGTCTATTCTGGCAGTTTGGCATATCAAAACAGTCTATTCTGGCAGTTGGCATATTCCAACAGTCTATTCTGGCAGTTGGCATATCCAACAGTCTATTCTGGCAGTTGGGCCATATCCAACAGTCTATTCTGGCAGTTGGCATATCAAACAGTCTATTCTGGCAGTTGGCATATCCAACAGTCTATTCTGGCAGTTGGCATATCCAACAGTCTATTCTGGCAGTTGGCATATCCAACAGTCTATTCTGGCAGTTGGCATATCCAACAGTCTATTCCAAAGTCTCACCATACACACCTTCCATCTCACCTCACAGGGTTCCCAGCCCATGTCCCCAGTTATTGCAAGTATCAAAAGTTTATCAAAATTGGATTTATTTTTTGTGGGTCTGTTTAATCTGAGGGAAATATGTGTCTCTAAAATTGTCTAACATTTGGCAGGAGGTTAGGAAGTGCAGCTCAGTTTCCACCTCATTTTGTGGGCAGTGTGCACATAGCCTGTCTTCTCTTGAGAGCCAGGTCTGCCTACGGCGACCTTTCTCAATAGCAAGGCTATGCTCACTGAGTTTGTACATAGTCAAAGCTTTACTTAATTTTGGGTCAGTCACAGTGGTCAGGTATTCTGCCACTGTGTACTCTCTGTTTAGGGCCACATAGCATTCTAGTTTGCTCTGTATTTTCCAGTGTGTCAAGTAATTATCTTTTTGTTTTCTCATGATTTGGTTGAGTCTAATTGTGTTGCCGTCCTGGGACTCGGTGGGGTCTGTTTGTGTTTGTGAACAGAGCCCCAGGACCAGCTTGCTTAGGGGACTCTTCTCCAGGTTAATCTCTCTGTAGGTGATGGCTTTGTTATGGAAGGTTTGGGAATCACTTCCTTTTAGGTGGTTGTAGAATTTAACAGCTCCTTTCTGGATTTCGATCATTAGCGGGTATCTGCCTAATTCTGCTCTGCATGCATTATTTGGTGTTTTACGTTGTACACAGAGGATATTTTAGCAGAATTCTGCATGCAGTCTCAATTTGTTGTTTGTCCCATTTTGTGAATTCTTGGTTGGTGAGCGGACCCAGACCTCACAACCATAAAGGGCAATGGGTTCTATAACTGATTCAAGTATTTTTAGCCAGATCCTAATTGGTATGTCAAATGTTATGTTCCTTTTGATAGCATAGAAGGCCCTTCTTGCCTTGTCTCTCAGATCGTTCACAGCTTTGTGGAAGTTACCTGTGGCGCTGATGTTTAGGCCGAGGTATGTATAGTTTTTAGTGTGCTCTAGGGCAACGGTGTCTAGATGGAATTTGTATTTGTGGTCCTGGCAACTGGAGCTTTTTTGGAACACCATTATTTTTGTCTTACTGAGATTTACTGTCAGGGCCCAGGTCTGACAGAATCTGTGCAGAAGATCTAGGTGCTGCTGTAGGCCCTCCTTGGTTGGTGACAGGAGCACCAGATAATCAGCAAACAGTAGACATTTGACTTCAGATTCTATTAGGGTGAGGCCCGGGTGCTGCAGACTTTTCTAGTGCCCTCGCCAATTTGTTGATATATATGTTGAAGAGGGTGAGGCTTAAGCTGCATCCCTCTCACCCCACGGCCCTGTGGAAAGAAATGTGTGTGTTTTATGCCAATTTTAACCGCACACTTGTCTCTCTCTCTCTCTCTCCCTCTCTGTCTCTCTCTCTCTAACTCTCTCTATATATTTTTCTCTCAGCTAAAAAGGTTTACTGTATTGCAACGGAATTAACGTTTCCTGTTGGTGTCTCTGGCAGTGTGTGTGTGTGTGTGTGTGTGTGTGTGTGTGTGTGTGTGTGTGTGTGTGTGTGTGTGTGTGTGTGTGTGTGTGTGTGTGTGTGTGTGTGTGTGTGTGTGTGTGTGTGTGTGTGTGTGTGTGTGTGTGTGTGTGTGTGTGGTGTGTGTGTGTGTGTGTGTGTGTGTGTGTGTGTGTGTGTGTGTGTGTGTGTGTGTGTGTGTGTGTGTGTGTGTGTGTGTGCGTGCGTGCGTGCGTGCGTGTGGCTGGCAGGCAGGCAGGCAGCAGTCTGTGACCTCACCGCAGTGGGTAGTTTGCCTCATGTAGGAGGAAGTCTCACCATCAATTATAGATTGTGCTGAGTGGCTGGTAGACACACACACACACACACACACACACACACACACACACACACACACACACACACATATACACACACCCACACATATACACACACCTTCTCTCTCTCTCTCCATTCCTCTCTTTATGTATAGTTCAAAGGGTTGTTTTGTATAAAAAGACAACCTACTGAAGTCCTTTCTTTCTCTGTCTCTCTTTCTCACTCATCCATGTTTCACTGCCAAATCCACTCATCTAACTGCTCTATCTCACTATCTGGCAAAGGACAGTTTGTTTGTAAGGCATTCATTCTGTAACACTATCTGGCAAAGGACAGTTTGTTTGTAAGGCATTCATTCTGTAACACTATCTGGCAAAGGACAGTTTGTTTCTAAGGCATTCATTCTGTAACACTATCTGGCAATGGACAGTTTGTTTCTAAGGCATTCATTCTGTAACACTATCTGGCAAAGGACAGTTTGTTTCTAAGGCATTCATTCTGTAACACTATCTGACAAAAGCCAGTTTGCAAGGTGTTTTCTGGTTCTTTATCTGGCAAAGGACAGTTTGTAAGGTGTTTTCTGGTTCTTTATCTGGCAAAGGACAGTTTGTAAGGCATCAGTTCAACGCATTCATTCTATTTCAGAGAGAAAACAGATGTATCCTTGCTGTAGCAGATTCTAAGCAGTGTAGCGATCTTTCTCTTCCTCTTGATTTCACGCCATCTCTCTCTTTCTTCTGTCCCTCCCTCCCTCCCTCCCTCCTCTCCCTCCTCTCTCTCCCTTCCTCCCTCCCTCTCAGTTTTCTATCAGATCTCAGCTTTTTTTCTCAGGAAGTGTTTTATTCGGCTCTGAGATTAATTAATTAGATGTACAGTATAAGAGACTTAACAGTCTTTGTCCCCAAATGGCACCCTATTCCCTATATAGTGCACTACTTTAGACCAGAGCCCTTTGGTGAATAGGGCGCTATTCAGGATGCAGCCTTTAGCTTTATTAGCGAAGCGCCGTAAGTGTCTTGCAGATAATGGGGTGTCAGGAGTGTGTGTGTGTGTGTGTGTGTGTGTATGTGTGTGTGTGTGTGTGTGTGTGTGTGTGTGTGTGTGTATGTGTGTGTGTGTATGTGTGTGTGTGCTAATAGGGGTATCAGGTCAAACACTTCTCCTATCTGCTCTTACCTCTAATTGGCTAGGGGCGCCTCTATGTCACCATATCTGCTGTGTGTGTGTGTGTGTGTGTGTCTCACCGTATTTATTGGAGACCATCCCTAATGATTTTCTTTACATGTTTAGAGTCAAACTAGCCGGAGTATTTTCAAACACACTTTCACTATCTGGGGCTAAATTACCACATGAAGGGACACTAACCCATGAGATGAAGATTGGTCGCTAATAACAGCACTAGAGATTGAGTTTACGATGGGTTTTGTTGAAACTCCCGAGTTTTCTTATAAGGGGATGTGGGTTAATGCTCTGTAATAGTACAGCAATTTGTTGTTTTGGGATGTTTTGTATGAGATACAGTCGTTAGTTCAAGTCTACACACCCCTTGCACAGTCTTCACATTTTGCTTCCTTCAAATTACATCTCAAAAGGGGAATACATTAGATTTTGTTTTCCTACCGATCTACACAAACCTACTCTGCATTTTCAAAGTGAAAGACACATTTTAGAACATTTTCCAAATGAATAAAAAATAACTCAATGAAGAAGTCTCGATTGCGTATGTCTTTACAACAGTCAATACTTGGTGGAAGTACCTTTGGCAGCCATTACAGCTGTCAATCATTTAAAATACAATTCTACCAACTTTGCACAACTCTTAGGGCAACATTTACCCATTGTGTTTGTCCAGTTTGCTCCAGCTCACTAAATGTGTTTGTGTGTCATTGATGGACAGCAATATTGGAAACCTTGTCTCTGATTTTCAAGCAAATGTAAGTTAGGGTGTTGTACATCATTTCATTTGTTTGTTTTTTTTCCCCCAGATTTTGAAGTTTGTCTGACCTACTCTCTCTCTCCTTTCTCTCCAGTTTCTGGCCAACCTATGAACCACCAATGAGGAGGCAGGAGAGGAGACAGGGATCCAATCAGGGATGCCGACGGCCATCCATCAAATGAGAAATAGCCAATCAGATGGGAGGAAAAGGACAGAGCCACACCCAGCCGTCTCCCTAACGACAGTCCCCAGGACAACAGCTAAATGTAGTTCCAGACGCGGTCCTCGTCACCCCTGACTCTCACACACTGTGGAAAAAAATTTTTTTTAATCAAAATGGAGGCTCAGATTTATATGTCATTTATTAGGACATGGTGCCCCCAAAAAGTTCATAAATAAAAGGTGCAGAGACACTGCCAATGAGCTACTCCAAGATACCTTCCTCTAACTCTTCTCCCTTCCTCTGGACCAATCAAAGGAGGACCACCTCCCAACAAAGTTTGGTTGGTGCGAAAAAAACCCTGTGAATCTGGATAAGCAAAAATGTAATGGTTCCGCGCTCAAAAAGATGTTGGATCCTTCCTACGGACTAACCTGAGAGAAAGACGAGTGCCCACTTTCCATTTGAAACCTTCTCTTCTTTTTGGACTAACCTGAGACAAAGACTAAGAGGGCCAACAATACTCTCTCCTTCCAACCTAACCCTGCCTTATACTACCGAGTGGACTAACAATACAGTGGTGCGCTAACATGGGCAAAGGCTGTATAACTCTGGACATCACAGTACACAAGGTGCTCTTTGGATAGGTTCAACTAGAAGGAGAAGAAGAAGAATACTTTATTAATCCATGTGAGACAGAAATTGGACTATAGTAACAATCATCATTCTCTACACCTCTCTTCCTCTCAATGACGCTAACCTGGATAAATAAACAAAGAAATAAACAAAAACAACAATAATCAACAACATGGACGTCATCATTAGAACGGCAACACAACCCAGTGGGGCGGGGTTTAACAACAAAGTGGGTGGGGCTTCGGTGGCGTTGTCGGCGACCAGTTGGTTCGCCTTCCTCTATGGGTTCGCCCTGCTGTCAATCACCCAGTTTCCCACGGCGATGGGCGACTGTTGGCTGATTGAGGGGGAGAAGGGCTTTGTGTGGTTGGCTATCTGCAGCCAGAACCAGCCCCCTTACGAAGCTATCCCTGCCCACATCAACAGGTAAGAACCAACCCCCTTACAAAGCTATCCCTGCCCACATCAACAGATAAGAACCAGCCCCCTTACAAAGCTATCCCTGCCCACATCAACAGATAAGAACCAGCCCCCTTACAAAGCTATCCCTGCCCACATCAACAGATAAGAACCAGCCCCCTTACAAAGCTATCCCTGCCCACATCAACAGGTAAGAGGGGCAGATTTAGGGTTGCAATATTCCGGTAACTTTCCCAAAATCAGTGATTTTATTTGGTTTATTAAACATAATTTGTGTTGTTAATATGTTCTTTATCCCATTTTCTGCTTCTTGTATGCATTTGCTTCCTTTCATTTGATTGAATGCATTTTATTAAATTGCATAAATTTCCAGAGTTCCTGCTTATTCCCACCTGATTCTAGGAATATTCCAACCGGGATTTCTGGATAACCTGGTAAATTTGGGAAAGTTACGGGAATTTTGCAACCCTAGGCAGACAGCATTGTTTTAGGCATTCTGTGTGTTTTAGGCATTCTTTGTTCATCAATTTTTACTGCTCCTTGTTAGGTTTTACTTGTTGTCATGTGATTGTTTTACTGTAAATTGCGTTCGAAGAAAAGAAAGAAGCAGAACACTGCTCTTGCCAGTTTCACGTTAATACATTTATTAAGCTTTATCAACCTGTATCAACCTGTTGACATTTATCAGAGCTTTTTTTTGTAAACGTGTGTTTTTTTGCACAAGTTTAAATGCACTTTAGATAACGTTTGATTTGAACAGCACCATCGTGGACCTGAGGCTCAACGAGAATAAGATCAAGAGTATCCATTTCTCATCGCTCAGCCGCTTTGGGAACCTGACATACCTGAACCTCACCAAGAACGAGATCTCGTACGTGGAGGATGGAGCCTTCTCTGCCCAGTTCAACCTACAGGTTGGTCCTGAACTGCACACTTTTACTGGCTCAAATAGCTGACCAATCAGCCTGTTACCAACCCTTAGTAAACTTTTGGAGAAAAAAAAATTGTGTTTGACCAGATACTGTGCTATTTTACTGTAAACAAATTGACAACAGACTTTCAGCAAGCTTATAGGGAAGGACATTCAACAAGCACAGCACTTACGCTAAATGACAGATGATTGGCTGAGAGAAATTGATAAAACGTTTGTTTGAGCTGTTTTGTTAGACTTCAGTGGCGCTTTTGACATTATCGATCATAGTCTGCTGATGGAAAAAGGTATGTGTTATGGCTTTACACCCCCTGCTATATTGTGGATACAGAGTTACCTGTCTAACAGAACACAGAGGGTGTTCTTTAATGGAAGCCTCTCCGACATAATCCAGGTAGAATCAGGAATTCCCCAGGGCAGCTGTCTAGGCCCCTTATTTAAAAAAAAAAAATCTTTCCTAATGACATGCCTGCCACTGGCCTTGAGTAAAGCCAGTGTGTCTATGTATGCGGATGACTCAACACTATTCACGTCAGCTACTACAAAGAGCTGGAGTTAGTTTCAGAATGGGTGGCAAGGACAGACAGTACAGACAGTACAGACAGCGCCGGAGAAGATGGCTGCCGTTTTACAGCCCTCTAACCAATTGTACTATTATGTGTGTTTTTCCGCGTTATTTGTAATTTATTTTGTACATAATGTTTCTGCCATCGTCTCTTATAACCAAAGAGAGCTTCTGGATATCAGGACAGCGATTACTCACCTCGCATTGGACGAAGATTTTTTCTTCAACGAGGCGTTCGCGAAGGATATCCTACAGACACCCGACAAGGCCCAGATCCCCGTCATTCGCGTGAGGAAGAGACGGAGATATCCGGGTGCCTTGTAAGGATCCGACGGCGAGCGAGTAAACTGCCTCTCCCATCAATCCTATTAGCCAACGTTCAATCTTTTGAGAATAAAATTGATGATTTAAGATTACGGTTATCCTACCAACGGGACATTAAAAACTGTAATATCTTATGTTTCACGGAGTCGTGGCTGAACGACAACAATGATAACATTCAGCTAGCAGGCTATACGCTACATCGACAGGACAGAACGGCAGACTCTGGTAAGACAAGGGGTGGCGGTCTCTGTATATTTGTAAACAACAGCTGGTGCACAAAATCAAATACTAAGGAAGTCTCAAGGTTTTGCTCGCCTGAGGTAGAGTATCTTATGATAAGCTGTAGACCACACTATTTACCAAGAGAGTTTTCATCTATATTTTTCATAGCTGTCTATTTACCACCACAAACCAATGCTGGCATTAAGATTGCACTGAATGAGTTGTACAAGGCCATTAATCAACAGGAAAACGCTCATCCAGATGCAGCGCTCCTAGTAGCCGGGGACTTTAATGCAGGGAAACTTAAATCCATTCTACCTAATTTCTACCAGCATGTTAAATGTGCAACCAGAGGGAAAAAAACTCTAGACCACCTTTACTCCACACACAGAGACGCATACAAAGCTCTCCCTCGCCCTCCATTTGGCAAATCTGACCATAACTCTATCCTCCTGATTCCTGCTTATAAGCAAAAACTGAAGCAGGAAGCACCAGTGATTCGGTTAATAAAAAAAGTGGTCAGATGACGCAGATGCTAAGCTACAGGACTGTTTTGCTAGCACAGACTGGAACATGTTCCGGGATTGAGGAGTACACCACATCAGTCACTGGCTTCATCAATAAGTGCATCGATGATGTCGTCCCCACAGTGACCGTACGTACAAACCCCAACCAGAAGCCATGGATTACAGGAAACATCCGCACTGAGCTAAAGGGTAGAGCTGCCGCTTTCAAGGAACGGGACTCTAACCCGGACACTTATAAGAAATCCCGCTATGACCTCCGACGAACCATCAAACAGGCAAAGATTCAATACAGGTCTAAGATTGAATCATACTACACTGGCTCTGACGCTCGTCGGATGTGGCAGGGCTTGAAAACTATTACAGACTACAAAGGGAAGCACAGCCGCGAGCTGCCCAGTGACACAAGCCTACCAGACGAGCTAAACCACTTCTATGCTCGCTTCGAGGCAAGCAACACTGAAGCATGCATGAGAGCACCAGCTGTTCCGGACGACTATGTGATCACGCTCTCCGTAGCCGATGTGAGTAAGACTTTTAAGCAGGTCAACATTCACAAGGCCGCAGGGCCAGACGGATTACCAGGACGTGTACTCCGAGCATGTGCTGACCAACTGGCAAGTGTCTTCACTGACATTTTCAACATGTCCCTGACTGAGTCTGTAATACCAACATGTTTCAAGCAGACCACCATAGTCCCCGTGCCCAAGAACTCTAAGATAACCTGCCTAAATGACTACCGACCCGTAGCACTGACGTCTGTAGCCATGAAGTGCTTTGAAAGACTGGTCATGGCTCACATCAACAGCATAATCCCAGAAACCCTAGACCCACTCCAATTTGCATACCGCCCCAACAGATCCACAGATGATGCAATCTCTATCGCACTCCACACTGCCCTCTCCCACCTGGACAAGAGGAACACCTACGTGAGAATGCTATTCATTGACTACAGCTCAGCATTCAACACCATAGTGCCCTCTAAGCTCATCACTAAGCTAAGGATCCTGGGACTAAACACCTCCCTCTGCAACTGGATCCTGGACTTCCTGACGGGCCGCCCCCAGGTGGTAAGGGTAGGTAACAACACATCTGCCACACTGATCCTCAACACGGGGGCCCCTCAGGGGTGCGTGCTCAGTCCCCTCCTGTACTCTCTGTTCACCCATGACTGCATGGCCAGGCACGACTCCAACACCATCATTAAGTTTGCCGACGACACAACAGTGGTAGGCCTGATCACCGACAACGATGAGACAGCCTATAGGGAGCAGGTCAGAGATCTGGCCGTGTGGTGCCAGGACAACAACCTCTCCCTCAACGTGACCAAGACAAAGGAGATGATTGTGGACTACAGGAAAAAAAAGAGGACTGAGCACGCCCCCATTCTCATCGACGGGGCTGTAGTGGAACAGGTTGAGAGCTTCAAGTTCCTTGGTGTCCACATCACCAACGAACTATCATGGTCCAAACACACCAAGACAGTCGTGAAGAGGGCACGACAAAGCCTATTCCCCCTCAGGAGACTAAAAAGATTTGGCATGGGTCCTCAGATCCTCAAAAAATTCTACAGCTGCACCATCGAGAGCATCCTGACTGGTTGCATCATCGCCTGGTATGGCAACTGCTTGGCCTCTGACCGCAAGGCACTACAGAGGGTAGTGCGTACGGCCCAGTACATCACTGGGGCAAAGCTCCCTGCCATCCAGGACCTCTATACCAGGCGGTGTCAGAGGAAGGCCCTCAAAATTGTCAAAGACTCCAGCCACCCTAGTCATAGACTGTTCTCTCTGCTACCGCACGGCAAGCGGTACCGGAGTGCCAAGTCTAGGTCCAAAAGACTTCTCAACAGCTTCTACCCCCAAGCCATAAGACTCCTGAACAGCTAATCATGGCTACCCGGACTATTTGCACTGCCCCCCCACCCCATCCTTTTTACGCTGCTGCTACTCTGTTAAGTATTTATGCATAGTCACTTTAACTCTACCCACATGTACATATTACCTCAACTACCTCAACTAGCCGGTGCCCCCGCACATTGACTCTGCAACGGTACCCCCCTGTATATATAGCCTCCCTACTGTCACTTTATTTTACTGTATATATAGCCTCCCTACTGTCACTTTATTTTACTTCTGCTCTTTTTTTCTCAACACTTTTTTTGTTGTTGTTTTATTCTTACTTTTTTTTGTTTAAAATAAATGCACTGTTGGTTAAGGGCTGTAAGTAAGCATTTCACTGCAATGTCTGCACCTGTTGTATTCGGCGCATGTGACCAATAACATTTGATTTGATTTGATTTGATTTGATTTGATTGTTAGTCCTACATTTTTCACAAACTAAAAGCATTGTATTTGGGACAAATCAGTCACTAAACCCTAAACCTCAACTAAATCTTGTAATAAATGTGGAAATTGAGCAAGTTGAGGTGACTAAACTGCTTGGAGTAACCCTGGATTGTAAACTGCCATGGTCAAAACATGTTGATACAGCAGTAGCTAAGTCTGTCCATAATAAAGCGCTATCTGCCTTTTTAACAACACTATCAACAAGGCAGGTCCTACAGGCTCTAGTTTTGTCGCAGCTGGACTATTGTTCAGTCGTGTGGTTAGGTGCCACAAAGCGGGACCTCGGAAAATTACAATTGGCTCAGAACAGGGCAGCACGGCTGGCCCTTAAATGTACATGGAGAGCTAACATTAATAATATGCATGTACATCTCTCATGGCTCAAAGTGGAGGACAGATAGACTTCATCACTACTTGTTTTTGTAAGAAGTGTTGACATGCTGAATGGTGTCTGTTTAAACTACTAGCACACAGCTCGGACACCCATGCATACCCCACAAGACATGCCACCAAAGGTCTCTTCACAATCCCCAAGTCAAGAACAGACTATGGGAGGTGCACAGTACTACATACAGTGAGGGAAAAAAGTATTGGATCCCCTGCTGATTTTGTACGTTTGCCCACTGACAAAGAAATGATCAGTCTATAATTTTAATGGTAGGTTTATTTGAACAGTGAGAGACAGAATAACAACAACAAAATCCAGAAAAACGCATGTCAAAAATGTTATAAATTGATTTGCATTTTAACGAGGGAAATAAGTATTTGACCCCCTCTCAATCAGAAAGATTTCTGGCTCCCAGGTGTCTTTTATACAGGTAACGAGCTGAGATTAGGAGCACACTCTTAAAGGGAGTGCTCCTAATCTCAGCTTGTTACCTGTATAAAAGACACCTGTCCACAGAAGCAATCAATCAATCAGATTCCAAACTCTCCACCATGGCCAAGGCCAAAGAGCTCTCCAAGGATGTCAGGGACAAGATTGTAGACCTACACAAGGCTGGAATGGGCTACAAGACCATCGCCAAGCAGCTTGGTGAGAAGGTGACAACAGTTGGTGCGATTATTCGCAAATGGAAGAAACACAAAAGAACTGTCAATCTCCCTCGGCCTGGGGCTCCATGCAAGATCTCACCTCGTGGAGTTGCAATGATCATGAGAACGGTGAGGAATCAGCCCAGAACTACACGGGAGGAACTTGTCAATGATCTCAAGGCAGCTGGGACAATAGTCACCAAGAAAACAATTGGTAATACACCTCGCCGTGAAGGACTGAAATCCTGCAGCGCCTGCAAGGTCCCCCTGCTCAAGAAAGCACATATACAGGCCCGTCTGAAGTTTGCCAATGAACATCTGAATGATTCAGAGGAGAACTGGGTGAAAGTGTTGTGGTCAGATGAGACCAAAATCGAGCAACTCGCCATGTTTGGAGGAGGAGGAATGCTGCCTATGACCCCAAGAACACCATCCCCACCGTCAAACATGGAGGTGGAAACATTTTACATTTACATTTTAGTCATTTAGCAGACGCTCTTATCCAGAGCGACTTACAGGAGCAATTAGGGTTAAGTGCCTTGCTCAAGGGCACATTAACGTCATTTAGCAGACGCTCTTAGCCAGAGCGACTCGCAAATTGGTGCGTTCACCCTATAGCCAGTGGGATAACCACTTTACAAACATTATGCTTTGGTGGTGTTTTTCTGCTAAGGGGACAGGACAACTACACCGCATCAAAGGGACGATGGACGGGGCCATGTACCGTCAAATCTTGGGTGAGAACCTCCTTCCCTCAGCCAGGGCATTGAAAATGGGTCGTGGATGGGTATTCCAGAATGACAATGACCCAAAACACACGGCCAAGGCAACAAAGGAGTGGCTCAAGAAGAAGCACATTAAGGTCCTGGAGTGGCCTAGCCAGTCTCCAGACCTTAATCCCATAGAAAATCTGTGGAGGGAGTTGAAGGTTCGAGTTGCCAAATGTCAGCCTCGAAACCTTAATGACTTGGAGAAGATCTGCAAAGAGGAGTGGGACAAAATCCCTCCTGAGATGTGTGCAAACCTGGTGACCAACTACAAGAAACGTCTGACCTCTGTGATTGCCAACAAGGGTTTTGACACCAAGTACTGTCATGTTTTGCAGAGGGGTCAAATACTTATTTCCCTCATTAAAATGCAAATCAATTTATAACATTTTTCACATGCGTTTTTCTGGATTTTTTATTTTTATTCTGTGTCTCACTGTTCAAATAAACCTACCATTAAAATTATAGACTGATCATGTCTTTGTCAGTGGGCAAACGTACACAATTAGCAGGGGATCAAATACTTTTTTCCCTCACTGTAGAGCCATGGCTACATGGAACTCTATTCCACATCAGGTAACTGATGAAAGCAGTAGAATCAGATTTTAAAAAACAGATACAAATACACCTTATGGAACAGCGTGGACTGTGAAGAGACACACACACGTCCACATGGATGTTGTATTGTAAATATGTGATAGTGGAGTAGTGGCCTGAGGGAACACACTAAATGTATTGGGTAAAGTGTTATGAAATGTAATGTCATGTACTATTGTAAACTGTATATAACTGCCTTAATGTTGCTGGACCCCAGGAAGAGTAGCTGCTGCTTTGGCAGGAACTAATGGGGATCCATAATAAACCCCAGGAAGAGTAGCTGCTGCTTTGGCAGGAACTAATGGGGCTCCATAATAAACCCCAGGAAGAGTAGCTGCTGCCTTGGCAGGAACTAATGGGGATCCATAATAAATCCCAGGAAGAGTAGCTGCTGCTTTGGCAGGAACTAATGGGGATCCATAATAAACCCACAGGAAGAGTAGCTGCTGCCTTGGCAGGAACTAATGGGGATCCATAATAAATCCCAGGAAGAGTAGCTGCTGCTTTGGCAGGAACTAATGGGGATCCATAATAAACCCACAGGAAGAGTAGCTGCTGCCTTGGCAGGAACTAATGGGGATCCATAATAAATATAAATACAAATATGATTACTGGGGCTCTAGTGAACTATGTAGGTAAAGGTAGGAAAGGTACCTTATGTTACCTTACCTTACCTTGCGTTACCTTACCTTACCTTATCTTTCCTTAGCTAACCTTTCCTTAGTTAACCTTAGCTTACATTACCAAACCTCACCCTTTCTTACTCACCTTACCTTTCCTACCTTACCTTACCCTTTCTTACGTTACATTAAGTTACATTACCGTACCTTACCCTTTCTTACTCACCTTACCTTTCCTACCTTACCTTACCCTTTCTTACATTACCATACGATGCCCTTTCTTAACTTACCCTTTCCTGCCTTACCTTACCCTTTCCTACCTTACCTTACCATTTCTTTCATTACGGTACCTTACCCTTTCTTACCTTACCATTTCCTACCTTACCTTACCCTTTCCCACCTTACCTTGACCTTTTTATTCTTAACATACCCTTTCTTACCATATCTTACCCTATTTTACCCCACCGTACCCTTTCCTACCTTACCCTTTCTTACCTTACCCTACCCTACCTTTCCTTACTGTATCTTATCTTCTCTTACCAGGTGCTGCAGTTGGGGTTTAACCGTCTGAGGAACCTAACAGAGGGGATCCTGAGAGGGCTGGGGAAGCTGCAGTACCTCTACCTACAGGCCAACCTGATCGAGGCAGTCACCCCCAACACCTTTGAGGAGTGTCCCAACATAGAGAACATTGACCTCTCCATGAATAGGATTCAGGTGCTGGACGGAGGCTTGTTTACGGGGCTCAGTAGATTAACGACCTGTGAACTCTACACCAACCCGTTCAACTGCTCCTGTGACCTGTTGGGGTTTCTGCGCTGGCTGGCCGTCTTCCCGAACAGGTAAAAAGCACCAGTTGACGCAAAATTGTATATTCAATCTATTTTCAATGACTTGTCAATAAACAGAAAAGTACAAGCTATTTATTACAAAAAAGTGTTTCCCTTTCTTAAATTTTAAATAAAAATTACTTCCTGCTTTGACTGCCTTGAACTTGATTTGACCACAACCCTGGTAACCACCATAAAAATGATCGCTCTGTGTTCCCGACCAGGACCAATGAGAGGATGGTGTGTGATACTCCGGCCGGGTTTTCAGGCTACAACCTCCTCAGTCAGAACCCCAGGATGCCTGCGAACCGCAACGCTCTGCACATGCTCAATATGGTGTGTAGACTAAAACATATTATTATTATTTAAAAATTCCACCCAAAAACTATCTTTTGGTATTTGTTTCATTAGTCCATTTTTTATGTAGTCCCAAAATGTTTTGCATGTCAGCAATCAAGTTTTTAAGAGATATAACTTGAAAAATACAGAAATACATCCAGTATGATGCATTATGCATCATATGATGCTGCATTTCTCCACAATATTACAGTAATTGACAATACATATTCCATATTTAAAAAACTCAGATAGAGTTTTGATACAGTGTAGGCCATCATAGTAGGCTGTCATAGTAACAGTATATCATTAATATCAGTTATAATACATTACATCATAGTAGGCTGTCATAGTAACAGTGTATCATTATTATCAGTTATAATACATTACATCATAGTAGGCTGTCATAGTAACAGCATATCATTACTATCAGTTATAAGACATTACATCATAGTAGGCTGTCATAGTAACAGCATATTTCCGCCTGGTATGGCAACTGCTCGGCCTCCGACCGCAAGGCACTACAGAGGGTAGTGCGTACGGCCCAATACATCACTGGGGCCAAGCTTCCTGCCATCCAGGACCTCTATACCAGGCGGTGTCAGAGGAAGGCCCTCAAAATTGTCAAAGACTCCAGCCACCCTAGTCATAGACTGTTCTCTCTGCAATCGCACGGCAAGCGGTACCGGAGCGCCAAGTCTAGGTCCAAAAGGCTTCTCAACAGCTTCTACCCCCAAGCCATAAGACTCCTGAACAGCTAATCATGGCTACCCAGACTATTTACACCCCCACCCCATCTTTTTACGCTGCTGCTACTCTGTTAATTATTTATGCATAGTCACTTTAACTCTACCCACATTTACATATTACCTCAACTAGCTGGTGCCCCCGCACATTGACTCTGCACCGGTACCCCCCTGTATATAGCCTCCCTACTGTTATTTTATTTTACTTCTGCTCTTTTTTTCTCAACACTTTTTTGTTGTTGTTGTTTTATTTTACTTTTTTATTAAGAAATAAATGCATTGTTGGTTAAGGGCTGTAAGTAAGCATTTCACGGTAATGTCTACACCTGTTGTATTCGGCGCATGTGGCAAATAGCAATTTGTCATAGTAACAGCATATCATTAATATCAGTTATAATACATTACATCATAGTAGGCTGTCATAGTAACAGCATATCATTACTATCAGTTATAATACATTACATCATAGTAGGCTGTCATAGTAACAGCATATCATTACTATCAGTTATAATACATTACATCATAGTAGGCTGTCATAGTAACAGCATATCATTACTATCAGTTATAATACATTGTTACATTGTATGCTCATTGAGCATGGGAAATGTGCTATACAAATGAATTATTATTATTGTTATTATCATTATAATTATCATTATTGTTGTTATGATTTTATGATTACTTTTATTTATATTTTTATGATTATTGTTATGGTTGTTTTTATGATGATGATGATGATGATTATTGTTATTATTATTATTATTATTATTATAGGTGTGTACCGATGACGGTAGCAACTCTTTGCCGAACATCATTGGTCAGTCCGATTTTACAACCCTCCCGCCGTACTCTCCCTGCGGATTGGACGACTGCTCTTCTGGAATGTCCCCAGAGGACCCAATCAGCATCAGCCCCACCTACACTGATCTGAACAACAAGCCTAGCATGAAGGTGAAACAGGTGAGCCCCATGTGAAGCTGTTCCTACAGGCTCTAAGGGTCGTGTGTGTGTTTTACTGAGTTTAGAATGTGCCTTAAGCCACTCCATAGCTTGAAATGTCGTGGATGGAGCCATCCAATCGGTACCTTTTGGGTGTCTCAACCCATTGGAGAACGTTGTCAAAGAGGGCGGTCACGTGTGTTGGTTGGAGCCCAGTATGGGGCAGTCAGACAGTGGAGGTTTCAAAGGTTGGGCAGCACACGATTCTTTTACACGGGGGAGGGTTGTTGATCTGTTCTCTTTTCCCCCGGGGAAATGTGTTGATGCTGATCTCTGTTCACGGGGGATTTTGTGTTTTGTTGATCTTTTTAAAAAATTTGGATGTGGTTTTAAACGCTGATGTCTGTTACCGGGGGAATGTGTGTTGACCCTGATGTCTTTTACACGTGGTTTGTGTGTTGTTTGCGGGATCTTTTTTTAAAAGTGGATGTTTTGTTATGCTAAATCTTTTTACACTTTGGAGTGTGTTGGTGATTCTTTAAAAGGATTGTGTTGAGTAAATGTCGTTCCCCGTGGATTGGGGTTTTGGGAGTGATCTTGTTACAGTGGAGTGGGGTTAAATGCTGATGTTTTTTCACGGGGGGATGGGGGTTTTGATGGTTGTTTTTATGAATATTTTTGTCATTTTTTACTAGGGGTATACTGAAGTATAATTAAAGCTTTCCATAAGTTTTCAAAGGCTTTTATTGAAAATTACTTTTATTTTATGAAAAGAGTAAATTTTTTCCCGGGTGTTCCAGTGTTACCCTTTTTTTTTAAAAGGCCCTCTGCAATCCCCCGGGCATGCGGGCCCAATTAATTTCTGGGCCACATCCTGATGTGGCAGCCCATTTTTGCAAATCAATGCTGGGTTTGTCAAAATTTTGGGGGTTTTTTTGTTTGTCCACCCCCTCTTGAAAAATCGACCAAAAGTTCTAAAGGGGAAATAATTTTGGGGGGGAGTTTTTTGGCCATGGCCCAAAAAAATTCTGATTTTGGTTTTTCCCCCAGCCCCCTTAGTTATAACTTTTCCCCTTAGGGCAAGGTGCCCCCAATAAAGGGCTGGAAAAGGCTTTTGGTCGTCCCCAAAACTTTTTCTTGGTTTGGTTGGGGGGAAAAGGGGCCCTTTGGAGGATGTGTTGGTCCCTTTCTTTATTCAGGGCCCGGTGTTTGGGGCAAAATTGTGAGTGACCCCCACCCCCTTTGGGCTAAAAAGCAACCCCACACAGAAAGGTTTTTTTTCCAAGGTTGTTTAATTTTGGCATGACCCGGATGATGGTAGACTCAATTTGTTTTTCCCCGGGACAAGGTTTTTTTGGGGGTTCCCCCCAAACAATGGGAAAGGGGATTTCAGAAAAAAGGATTTTAAACCCCAGTCCTCATTTAGTCCAATCCCTGTCCCTTTTGGGCAAAATTTCCCGGGGTTGTCCCTGAGGGTTTTTTTCCGGGGAGAAAAAGGGGCCCTTTTTTTGCCCCCCTTTTCTTGACAGGGGGGGACCCATTCCCCCAAAATTTATTGCCTCCCCCTGTGCGGGGGCAGATTCACCCCCAAAAATTTTCCCCCGGGGGGCCGGGCATTCCTGAACCAAGCCCCCTTGGGTTGGCTTTGGTTGGGTTTTGCCCCCGGGATAACCGCCCTGAATTAAAATTTAGGGGGGTTTCCCCCGGGCCCGCTTGCGGCCTTTTGGGCCCCCCCGGCACCTTTTCTTCACAACAAATTGCCACCCCTTCCCTTTGGGGACGTTCTTGGGGTCCCCGTTTCCCTAAAAAGGTTATTTTTGAAAAGGTGCCTTTGGGGTTGTTTAAAGGTTTTAAACCCCATACTAGCGGGGCAAATCCTTTGGGCCTTGAAGCCCTTTTTGCTCCAAAGCAAAATGTTTGAGGGCAGTGTTTTTCCTTGCAGGGTTAACCTTTTGGGGGTTTAAAAGGGAAAAAGGAAGGAAAAAAAACAATGATTCCCAAGAAACCACCCTCCTTTTTAAATTTCCCAGTCTTTTTTATTTTCTAACTAAATTCACTAGCAGATTTAAATCTCCCCCTTTTGCCCTCGTAAAACACTCTCATTTGTGTTAACGGAAAAAATCACTGACATGATGGGCCAGCGGGTTTCCTTTTGTGGGGGGGTGCAGGGTTGAAATGGGGGGAAATGTTCTTTTTTTTTTTTAGGGATGAATTTTTTTTTAGGGCAAAGGGGGGAACTTTGCAAAAATTGTGGAAATTTTAATTTGACATTTGTCATAAAAATTCGGGAAAGCATAGGCAATTGCCACAAAAAAAACTAAAGGCCCACAACTTTTTTGAAAAGATTTCATTTGTGTCTTCTCAGAACGTTTTGCCCCGACTGTACGTGGGGTTTTGCAATGAATGTTTGACGTCAGGGTAAAGGGTTTTTTTTGGTTTTTTCTAGGGGAAAAGGGGTTTTTGGTAGGTTTAAGTATTTGTTTTGTTTTTTCCCTTCCCCTTGGGAGACGTGATTTTTGTTGAGTTTGGAACTGTCAACAGTTTTGGTGGGATTGCTATGAACTAACCCGAGGAACTTTGACCCTTTGAAAAAATAAACGATTTGAAGGGGGGTCGCATCTTTCGAATTTCTGTAGAGGAGGGGATTTTGGGGGGTTTTGTTCCCCTGCCCTGTTTTCGTAATTGTTCTAACACCTTACTCCCCAAAAGGAATTTTACCCCCAAAGTTTTAAGTTTTTTTAACTCTCTTTAACTTTAATCCCTTCTTATCCCCTTTTATTTCCCCTTTTCTTTTCCCTACTCTTTCCCCCTTCCCCTTTTTAAACCCTTTCTACCTCTAAAACTTTTTCCCCCTCCTCTTTTCCTTTTCTTGGGCCCCCCCTTTTTCTTTTTTCTCTTTTTGGGTTTCCCCCAAAACCTCACAGTGATCCCCACCCAAATTTTCCCTCACCCCTTCAAAAGGGATGTACTTTCCGGGTTTTCCTACAAACAAAAAGTTCTTCACTCCCTTTTACAGAACCTAAAAAGGAAACCACAAGGAAGAGTTTCGAACTGAACAGCCTAAAAAAAAGCCCCCACTAGGCCTTATTTTAAATTTCATTCCTAAAAAAACTTTGGGGGGGTGCGGTTCGTGAGTGGTGTGTGGGGGGTTTTGGTTTGTTTTTTGTTTTGTTTTTGGTAAGGTGTGTGTGTGTTGGGTGGTGCTTTCGTGGTTGTGATGTTGTTGGGTTTGTTGTGTGGTTTTGTGTTTGTGGGTTCTTTAAGGGGGTTTCTTTGGGGTTGAGGGGGGGGGTTTAAACCCCGGGAGGGTTCCCTGGGTTCGGAAAAAAAATTAAAAAGGGAACCCGCCCCCTATTATGGGCCCACTTTGCGAAAAAATCCATTAAGGGTTTTTCCAGATTTTCGTGAAAAACTTTTTAAAATAAAACCTTTAAAATTTAAATCTTTTCTTCCTCCTTCCGTTCTTTTTCTTTTTCCGGTTCCACTCCCCCCCCCTTTTGGGGTCCCCCTTTGCCACTCCCTCCTCCCTCTCCTTTTTCCTTCAAAGCCTTTTTCCCTTTTAAAATTTTCTTTCCCTTTCCCCCCCTTTTCCCTCCCTCCCCCATCTCCTCTTCCTTCTCTTCCTTTTCTCCTTCTTCCCAAAAAAAAAACCTCCTTTTCTTTTTCCCAATTTGGGGTTTTTCCTTTTAAAACCGGGGGGGTCCGGGGGCCCTCCCCAAAAAACCCTTTTTTTTTTTTCCCCCCCTGGGGGTTTTCCCCCCCCCCCAAAAAAAAAATTTTTTTTCCCGGGGGGGGGCCCCCCCCCTCCCAAAAAATTTATTTTTCCCCTTTTTTCCCCTTAATTTTTCCCTTATCCCCCCTTTCCTCTCTCTCTCTTCTTCTCTCTCCCCTCTCTCTCCCCTCTCCCCCCAAAAATACACCAAGGTGTAGTGTCCAAATAAGCACATTTCGTTAAAACCCAAACACCTGTCTGTCCATCTCCACCGGGAGGAAGGCAGGTCTGGAGAGGACCCCCAAAACGTCCTCTCCCAAACCCACTACATCAGGGGACTTTTATGGGCAGTCTTTCAGCAGGGTCCTCTCTGGGGTTAGTCTTCCACAAACACTGAAGAAAGGGCCAGCACCTACTTCATTAAAATTCCAATTGAAGCTTAATTTTACACATGTAGTATTTCGTTTGCCACAGTATTATGGAGGGTTCAGTGGGAAATGCAACCAAAAAACCTACATTGGAATGAAAAAAGGGGAAAAATACCAATTGCCATCTCAAATGGTTTCGAAAAAAATATTCTCCTTCCTCTTCTTCTAGTTTGGTTTTCCCAAATCCCTGGGGAAAAAGGGGGCAGCGAGACGAGAAAACAAAAAGTTTGGGAAAAGATCCAGAAGAGTGTTTGGAGCTGAGATGGGGACCAACCTGGGGTGGTGGGGGAAAAGGGAGGGGGGGGGCTCCATCCTAAACTACCCCAGAAAAGTTTGGCTCTCGGCTGGGAGACCCCCCCCGGGTTTCCCCTACCTTCCCCAGGGTGGAACCTGTGAGATGGACCAGTAAAAAGCTACGGGGAGATCTTTTGATACCCCAAAGGGCACGAAAGGGAATATACGAAGTGGGGGGGGAACTGGGGGGGCGACCGGGCCGGGGACCGGAGGGAGAGAGAGAGAGAAAGAGAGCGGGAGAAAAGGGGAGGGAGTTTTATTCTTCCCCCAAAAACAACCCCGGTAACCTGTCTTTTTGACGCTGAAACTGAGGCTGTATGGGGCTTTTACTGGGGCGTCGGAGGCGGGTACTGGGGCTGCACTGAGGCTGCACGAAGGTTTGCACTGAGGCTGCATGGGGCCTGTACTGAGGTGAAACTGTGGCTCCCAACCGGGGAAGGGCTTCACTGAGGTTTTGCCCCCCTTTTTGCTCCCCCATTTAAGGGCCCCCCCGGGTTTTCCCCCTTAGGGCTTTTTTATTTTTTTAAAGGTTTGCCAATTTTGTGGGGCCTTTTAACTGTGGTGCACTGAGGCTGCACTGGGGTTTGCACTGAGGCTGAACTGAGGCCTGTACTGAGTCCCAACTGTGGTGCACTGAGGCTGCACTGGGGCGGGAAACTAGGCTGCACTGGGGCTTTACTGAGGCTGCCTGGGGCTGCTGGGGCTGCCTGTGGCTGTACTGGGGCTGCACTGAGGCTTCACTGGGGGGCTGTCCTTTTGGCCCCTTTAGGCTGATTTGAGGCGGCACTGAGGTTTTGTACTAAACCCTTGTACTGTGGTTTGTATTTTAAATAAAGGCTGTACTTTGGGCTTTTTTGGCTGTACTGTACTGAGAGGCTGTCCGTATGAGGCTGCAACTGAGGCTGTAACTGAGGGCCTGTACTGTACTGAGGGCTGCACTGAGGCTGTACCTGAGGCTGTACTGTACGGAGGCTGTACTGTGGCTGTACTGAGGCTGTACTGAGGCTGTACTGAGGCTGCACTGTGGCTGTACTGAGGCTGCACTGTGGCTGTACTGAGGCTGCACTGTGGCTGTACTGAGGCTGCACTGTGGCTGTACTGAGGCTGCACTGAGGCTGTACTGAGGCTGTACTGTGGCTGTACTGTGGCTGTACTGTACTGAGGCTGTACTGTGGCTGTACTGTGGCTGTACTGAGGCTGTACTGTGGCTGTACTGAGGCTGCACTGTACTGAGGCTGCACTGTGGCTGTACTGTACTGAGGCTGTACTGTGGCTGGTACTGTGGCTGTACTGAGGCTGTACTGTGGCTGTACTGAGGCTGCACTGTACTGAGGCTGCACTCTGCTGCAGCCTCTACAACCTAATGGGTTTATTGGAGGGGATACAATAAATTAATAAAGTATTCTTCTTCCTCCTCCTCCTCCTCCTTGACCTCCTCCTCTTGACCTCCTCCTTGTCCTCCTCCTCCTCAGGGTTCGGTAGCAGAGATTTCCACCATCGCCTCAGAGGTGGACAAGGTGAACCAGATCATCAACAACTGTATTGATGTCCTCAAATCTGAGTCCACGTCGTTCCAGGGGGTCAGGTCAGGCTCTGTGTCGACCGCTGATCCCCAGCTAGTGCTGATCTCAGACCAGCCACAGAGACAGTCAGGGTTCCTGTCGCCGCAGTATAAAGGTAGTTACTGTCATTACTGTGTATACACACACATCTGTCTAACTGTCTGTCTGTCTGTCTGTCTGTCTGTCTGTCTGTCTGTCTGTCTGTCTGTCTGTCTGTCTGTCTGTCTGTCTGTCTGTATATCTGTCTGTCTGTATATCTGTATATCTGTCTGTCTGTCTGTCTGTCTGTCTGTCTGTCTGTCTGTCTGTCTGTCTGTCTGTCTGTCTGTCTGTCTGTCTGTCTATCTATCTGTCTGTCTGTCGGTCTCTTCACTCTCTCTAAACATTTTTTGAAAAAAAGACCTGTTATATTTGAATTATTGTTAATAAATGTTATAACTTATTATTACTTTTTACTATGCAATTTGAGCTTCATATTGTAGTGAAAAGCACTTTACAAATGTACAAAATTATTAATATTAATTATTATTATTATTATTATTATTGAAGGAGGTTACCACCACCCTCTCCAGAGACACCACAGTATGGAAGCTCCATCCAAACGACCTTCGACCTCCTCCAGCGGTTCCGTCCGCTCCCCGCGCTCCTTCCGCTCCGACGGGCCGTACCGGGGACCCACCGAGACAAAGTACATCGAGAAGACCTCGCCGGCTGGAACCGGAATCACCGAAGACACCATCCTCACCGTGACTCCCGCCGCTGCCATCTTACGAGCAGAGGCCCAGAAGGTATTGTACTGTGTGTGTGTGTGTGTGTGTGTGTGTGTGTGTGTGTGTGTGTGTGTGGTGTGTGTGTGGTGGTGTGTGTGGGTGTGTGGTGTGGTGTGTGTGTGTGTGTGTGTGTGTGTGGTGTGTGAGTGTGTGTGTGTGGTGTGTGTGTGTGTGTGGTGTGTGGTGTGTGTGTGTGAGTGTGTGTGTGTGTGTGTGAGTGTGTGTGTGTGTGTGTGTGTGTGTGTGTGTGTGTGTGTGTGTGTGAGTACTAGCCTTCTATTATATTTTTTCATTTTGGGCTAAAAGCTTTTATAAAGCATTTTTATTTCAAATAAATTAAGTTGCTGCTCATGTCGCTACAAAGCTTTGTGATATATGTGCGTAACTGAAAACAAATAAAAGTGCTCTACAAAACAAATGTATTAAATCATAATAATAATAGATGTATTTTATATAGCGCTTTTTACATGTAGTTCTTGGGCTGGACAATGGTGTTCAATTATAATAGTAGTATTAATATAGTATAGTGATAATGATAACTACATAATAGTAATATGTAATAGTATTATATAATTATTATTATAATTATATTTATTATAAGGTCCGACAGTACACGGAGCAGCGCCACTCGTACCCGGGCCCCCAGCACCCCCTCCCTGACCCCGAGGAGCTAGAGGAGCTCAGTAGCAGTAAACCCTCTTCCATCCTGGAACCCCTCACCCTGGGTCGGCACCCCAGAGAGCTAGGTAACACTGATTGGTTGGTTGGTTGGTTGGTTGGATGATCGGTCGATTGGTTTGATTGATTCATTGACTGTGTGTATATATGCTGAGTTTGACAAACCAATTTCCCCTCAGGGATGAATAAAGTATTCTTATAATATTTTATATTTTCTAGCCTACGCCCAGCTGTCGCCGCAGTACCACAACCTGAGCTATGAGTCCAGTCCTGAGTATTCCTGCACCCCGTCGCTAGGCATCTGGGAGAGGTTTAAACTCCACCGGAAGAGACACAAAGACGAGGATTACGAGGAGGAATACATGGCGGCGGGACACGCGTTGAGGAGGAGTTTGCAGGTCGCCAAGGACGAGGATCTGCATGACATACTAGACTATTGGAAAGGTGTCTCGGCACAGCAGAAGTCGTGAAGGGGCTGGGTCGGGATGTGATGAGGCTCTGGCACTACTTAGTTGGGCATAAAGGAGGATGGAGGCCGCATGGAGACTAAAGGGCTTTATTCAATCTGTAAAGCTGAAGCGTTACAGATTCCGCGATAGAAATGTAAAGGTAATTTCCGATTGACATGCAGCGTGAATGCTGTCTCCGTTAAAGCAGGAACATTGCCTTTAAATTTCAATCATTCTGTAAAGATGAACTTCCACGATGTGGATTAGGGCCCTAATACACACACACACACACACAATCACACACACAATCACACACACACACACACACACAATCACACACACACACACACACACACACACAATCACACACACGCACGCATCTCTGCTTTTAAAAACATGGACCAAAAATAAATTAATACGATTTGAAAACAAAGAATGAAGAACTTGATTAAAAATACATAATTTAACAGAAGATCAAGAGATATTATGATTATTATTACTATTATTACACCTAGACTCTTATGTAGCTGTTTCTACTAAAACTGGGTTTTGGATTAACAAAAAAAACAAAAAACACAACAAACAGAAGAAGATATTATATCGACTAGTAGTTTCACGAGTGTGAGTATGCTGCAGTATATGTGCCAAATCAACAAGGGCTGCATCTCAAAGGCACCTTCTTCCCTAAAAAAAAAAGAAGCACACTACATAGGGAATACATAGCGCACTACATAGGGAATACATAGCGCACTACATAGGGAATACATAGCGCACTACATAGGGAATACATAGCGCATTGTGGGAAACGGTGTAATTTGGGACGCAGACCAAGGAGAACCGTAGAACTTTACACTGTATTAACCTCTCTCCTCATCACTCTTTTATACATATAAAAATAGGTCGAATTATATGTGATTCTTAGTATTATTATTATTATTATTATTACTATTATTATAATAATTATTAATACAATTATTAATATTATTATTATTATTATTATTATTATTATTAATATTATTATTTGAATATCGCATGGCTACGTCCTGTGACAGTGACTGTTGTTGTGACTTTCGAGAAACAAAAATATGGCCGTCGCACAACCTTGTTATAAAATGTCCGCCTCTGAACAACCTCGATGAAGACAGACATTTTGATCTCTTCTTTTTACCAGAGGACTTGCTCTTTCTCTCTTCCTAAAGGAACACTATTTTCCTCCACTAACAGACTCTTAATCTGAAACGTTCCTTTGACGTATTACAGAGGGGACTTTTATTCTGAAACTATAAGAGGGGGATGATCTTGTACAGAAGAAAGAGAAAAAGCTCTATATTTGCATAAAAATATGTCTTGTTAGTTAGTTAGCTAGTTTGTTTGTTTCTACCAAGGGGATTTGAAAACTTATTTGAGACTTTGAGAGACCAGCTCCAAACTGATCCAACCTGCAGTACGTTTTTGATTTTGAAATCCAACCAAACTCTAATGAATGTCTTCAAGTCCCTAATGTGGATGATTACTGCACTGTTCAAAATCAGAAAACGACTCTTGACTAAACTCTAAAAACGTCCTTTATACCCACAATTCCTCTCTCTGTCCTTTCCTTGTCCCTCCCCCAATCCCCCCAGTTCCTCCTTTCCCTTCCCCAGTTGAGTTCTAGTTTGCCAAATCACAACGGCACAATACGGACCGACCGGCCGACTGTCATCGAATCTCCCTGTACCTCAACCCAATCATTCTATGACCGATGTGCTGTGGTAGCAAAACCTCCGAGACGTCCTTATAGCCCAGTCTGTCCCCATATACCATGGGTTGGGTCTCAGATGACAGCCTGTTTCCTATATAGTCACAACAAGCTTTTCATTTGTTGGTTTGGTAGCTTTTTTTTTTTTGTAGCAGCACTTGGTTTCCATGGATACAGCTCTTGGTTTCCATGGATACTGGGCCACAGGAAGTGGAATTACGTGCACTATATAGGGAATAGGGTGCCATATGGGATGCATCCATATCTAGCATACAGACCTACTACAAGAGATGAATGTATTTCTTCTTTACATAATAAAAAGTATAAGGCAGCTGTTACTGCTCCTGCGGAAAGCTACCATTTTGTAATTCTCTCTCTTTAACGCTCTCTTCCTCTCTTGTCTTGTTTCTCTCTCTTCTATATCTCTACTCTGTTGTCTCTCTCTATCTTCTCTGTCTGTTTTCTCTCTTTCCTCTGTGGTTCTCTCTCTTCTATCTTACGGTCCTCCTCTATCCTCTCTCCTCTCTCTCTTCCTCTGTCTGTTTCTCTCTCTCTTCCTCTGTCTGTTTCTCTCTCTCTTCCTCTGTCTGTTTCTCTCCTCTCCCTCTCTCTCCTCTCTCTCTTCCTCTCTTCTCTCTTCTCCTCTCTCTTCTCTTCTCTGTCTCTTCCTCTCTTCCTCGTTTCTCTCTACCTCTCTGTCTGTTTCCCTCTCTCTCTCTTTGTTTCTCTCTCTCCTCTCTGTATGTTCTCTCTCTCTCCTCTCTGTCTGTTTCTCTCTCTCTCCTCTGTCTGTTTCTCTATCTCTCCTCTGTCTGTTTCTCCCTCTCCCTTTTCCCCTTTGTTTCTTTATCTCTGATACACTGTATATTGATCTGATCATGATTGATTGATATTGATACCTTATATGATCTGATTATGATTGATTGGTTGATTGATTGATATTGATACCTTATATGATCTGATCATGATGTATTGATTGATCGATTGACTGCTTATACCTGCTTAAATCATTTAGCACAGTTAACTAAACAGCCTTATACAGTTTAGAATTCTATTTCCAACTTTTCTTGGTGGGTAATGATGATTTGGACAGTTTTCTCGTTATCTTTGGACGTTTTTCTTAACCATATTTTTCTAAATGCTAGATGAAGATTCTTCTTAAAGCATCACACAAAGCTGTTTCTTTAAATAACAGATATCTAAATGTATGTCGTAAACTAATCCGTTTGTTGGTTAGATTGCTTTTTTGTGTTGCTTTTATTCTGTATAATGCATTTTTTGTAGCAGCCCTCGGTTTCTATGGATATCACTGGGAGACAGGAAGTAGAAACATTGGGAAAGGATGACAAGAGAAGAAGAAGGAGAAGTGGAGGAGGAGCGACTCACCATTGGACAGTGTGCATTCTGGGTAAACAGGAAACAGAGACTGAAAGAGTGTTCTGTGGTTGTGTTGCGTTTCCGCTTGTGACGCGACGGAGAGAGAGACATGGTTATCCCAACGATCTCTGAGATTCTGGAGTCTTCTCCTTAGTCTGTCGGAAATTAACATGAGCACAATAAAACATCTTCCTCTATTCTCCTTCTTTTCCTGGAGAACGAAAAGGAGAGGGGATTGGAGAGAGGGAGTAAAAGAGATGAATGATGAAAAGGGCGGGAGAGAGAGAGAAAGAGCAGGTCAGTAGGAAAAACTGAAAAGCAGAGATGACCGACAGGGTCATTGTCTTACATCAGATAGCGCGTCGAATCCGCCTGCACTGATCTGTCTCGTATCTCACAAAGGATGATGGGATAGATAAAAAAGTAGTCCTGCTACAATGTGCTGTCTAACATTAGAACATGTTACCATGGTGACATGGTCTGCTGAACCCTGTTTCATCCTCAAAATTGAATTAATCAAAGATAAAACAATAAATCTGTCCATAATGTTGGCGTGTTTGTGGTGAGGAAGTCTTATTCACACTATTTTACATCTAGCTAAGGAGTTTTTGTACTTCAACAAGCAGTATTTGGATTGACAATGTGCATGAAAGCTAGCTTAAATTTGCCCAACGTTAGCTTGCTAGCTGAGCCATTCACACTTCATATATATATACAGTGGGGAAAAAAAGTATTTAGTCAGCCACCAATTGTGCAAGTTCTCCCACTTAAAAAGATGAGAGAGGCCTGTAATTTTCATTATAGGTACATGTCAACTATGACAGACAAATTGAGAAAAAAAATTCCAGAAATGACATTGTAGGATTTTTAATGAATTTATTTGCAAATTATGGTGGAAAATAAGTATTTGGTCACCTACAAACAAGCAAGATTTCTGGCTCTCACAGACCTGTAACTTCTTCTTTAAGAGGCTCCTCTGTCCTCCACTCGTTACCTGTATTAATGGCACCTGTTTGAACTTGTTATCAGTATAAAAGACACCTGTCCACAACCTCAAACAGTCACACTCCAAACTCCACTATGGCCAAGACCAAAGAGCTGTCAAAGGACACCAGAAACAAAATTGTAGACCTGCACCAGGCTGGGAAGACTGAATCTGCAATAGGTAAGCAGCTTGGTTTGAAGAAATCAACTGTGGGAGCAATTATTAGGAAATGGAAGACATACAAGACCACTGATAATCTCCCTCGATCTGGGGCTCCACGCAAGATCTCACCCCGTGGGGTCAAAATGATCACAAGAACGGTGAGCAAAAATCCCAGAACCACACGGGGGGACCTAGTGAATGACCTGCAGAGAGCTGGGACCAAAGTAACAAAGCCTACCATCAGTAACACACTACGCCGCCAGGGACTCAAATCCTGCAGTGCCAGATGTGTCCCCCTGCTTAAGCCAGTACATGTCCAGGCCCGTCTGAAGTTTGCTAGAGTGCATTTGGATGATCCAGAAGAGGATTGGGAGAATGTCATATGGTTAGATGAAACCAAAATAGAACTTTTTGGTAAAAACTCAACTCGTCGTGTTTGGAGGACAAAGAATGCTGAGTTGCATCCAAAGAACACCATACCTACTGTGAAGCATGGGGTGGAAACATCATGCTTTGGGGCTGTTTTTCTGCAAAGGGACCAGGACGACTGATCCGTGTAAAGGAAAGAATGAATGGGGCCATGTATCGTGAGATATTGAGTGAAAACCTCCTTCCATCAGCAAGGGCATTGAAGATGAAACGTGGCTGGGTCTTTCAGCATGACAATGATCCCAAACACACCGCCCGGGCAACGAAGGAGTGGCTTCGTAAGAAGCATTTCAAGGTCCTGGAGTGGCCTAGCCAGTCTCCAGATCTCAACCCCATAGAAAATCTTTGGAGGGAGTTGAAAGTCTGTGTTGCCCAGCGACAGCCCCAAAACATCACTGCCCTAGAGGAGATCTGCATGGAGGAATGGGCCAAAATACCAGC